ACTCTTGATTAGCGTCTGGGGAACCCGATAGGCAAAGGCAAGCTATTGGGCTCTAAAATCAAATAGAAAATTCAGATCTTTTCATGTAATCCTTGACTAATCAGCTTTAATGAAGAGATTTTGGTGATTGTTGTTTAAACCTCGGGACATACAGGGAACACAGGGGAATTAACAGAGATTTATGCTCTGGGCAAGTCCAATAAAGGCCCGAGTTCCCATGCAGGGAACACGGTGAGAGCACAGTAATGTCCCCAACGTCAGTCATTCGAGTCCCTGCCCTGAGGAGTTTCCCATGTCTGAGTATCACCTCGCAAATTATTCATCTGGTTTTCTTTGAACCAACTCACCTTCTATTAGTAAATTTTGCATCATTCTGTACATGACAATCCAGTATCACTCACCCTATTTAAAAGGTGTATTAGGCAGGAAAGGTTAGGCAATGCAGCAGGAACAGTTCAGGAGTTCAAAGGTTTAACCCGACTAGCGCTGCTTATGCAATGTGGGCTGGCAGAGGGTCCCCAGGCAGTGACAGTCCCAGGCGGGGGAGGGCATACCGCTCAGAACAGGAGGCGAACACCTGGAGGGTGGCTGTCCTGATTTTATTTATTTTAATATAGTTTTATTGATTTCAGAGAGGGAGGGAGGGAGAGGGGGAGAGGGGGAGAGAGAGAGAGAGAGAGAGAGAGAGAGAGAGAGAGAGAGAGAGAAACATCAATGATGAGGGAGAATCATCGATCAGCTGCCTCTTGCACACCCCACACTGGGGATCAAGCCCAGCAACCCAGGCATCAAACTGTGGTTCATAGGTCACTGCTCAACCACTGAGCCACGCCGGCCAGCACTCACGATTTTAAATCTTCCACACACAGCCCATTGGCCATGAACAGTCACATGGCCCGGCCTCACTGGGAGGGGAATGGGACGTATGGGTGCACATGCCTTCTGGTAAGCAGCAAACATCTCTGCTGCGAAGGCAATGGCCCAGGTAATAAAACAACAACAAAACAATACATTCTACCTCCAAGGCTGAGCTGCAAGCCAGCTCTGAGCAGAACGCTAAGAAAGGAAAGCAATTAGCAAGTGTTACACACGTGTTAACGACAGTTCTAGACCAGCTGAGACGGGTGCCGACAAAAGGGACGACAGAGAACTGATGCCCAGTGTGACTTCGTGTTGGTCATGTGCCCCTGTACCAACTGACCATCTTCAGGAAGAGCCACACTTGGAGGGGGGGAAGGAAAGAATAACCAAACTTCAGAAAGACCTTCTTTGAAGCAAAACAGAAACCAGACAGGGATGGAAGGTGTTGTAAGTGACACACGAGCCCTTGGTGCACGGCAGCACCACTGATGTGACAGATGGTATTTTCCAATGACGACACCGATATATCCCATCTCATTAGCTCTCCCGTGTGACAATGACAGGCCTGCAAGGGGACGAGCCTGTGTTCTCCTTGATTCTGAGCGGGCCTGTGAGAGCAGCAGAGGTGAAATCCATGACTTCCAGGGCTTGTTTTAAAAAGGTGACACACCAGCAGCAAACCGCGCCTGGTGCCCAGGTCTTCGTTTCCAAACCACTTTCCAGTAAAAGGAACCAGAGCTCCTTGGAGAAATGGCTGATTCTAGACGGGGCAGGAATTAAACATGAGTCCGGAGCATCTCCTGGTGGCAAAAGGTAAGGCTGTGCGCAGGCCCGCACACACGCACACACGCACGCACGCACGCACGCACGCACACACATGCACACACAATGGGAGAAGGAAAGGGACATGGAGCCAACCTGAAAGAACTCCCAAAGGCCAAAGCTGGACCAATTCAAGCAACAAAATACATAATGTACTATTGGACTATAATCCAAAGTATAAAATAAATAAGCATGAGTAAATACTGATATAAATCATGATTGCATAAATAAATAGGTAGAACGGGCAAATGCCCTGTGCAGAAGTTCACATAATTCATGTGGATTCCTGCCCTCAGGGAGGGGGGCCTACCTCCCCACTCCTGAAGCATGAACTGTGCATGAGTGGCGTGCTTCCTAAGAAATCCAGCATGGAAAAGGGGAACCTACCAAAAACCACCTCAGCCACGTGATCAAGGCTGGCGTCAAGCGACCAGTCGTGCTGGTGGTCCGTGCCCCAGATACGACCTGATGATAGGGCACTTTCCCTCTGGGGTCTTCTCCCCCCCACCCCACAATCCCAGCCTAATCATGAGGAAAACACCAGAAAGATCCCAATGTGGGACCTTCTACAAATGCCTCACTACTCCTCATCACTGTCAAGGTCGTCAACAGGGAAGTGGGAGAAACTCATAGTCACGGGGCACGCAGGAGACAAGACAACTACATGTGATCCTGGATGGACTCCTAGGACAGAAAAGGGACATCAGGCACAAGCGAAGGAGCTCCGAATAAAGCATGGGCTTTAGTTATAAAAGTCTATCAGCCTTGGCTCATTAATTGTGACAAAGGTACCACACTAACCTAAGATGGCAGGGAAACTGGGGGTGGGTGGGGAGGGTGTATATTGGAACTCTGTTATCTTGACAAATTTTCTGTAAATCTAAAACTATTCTAAAATTTGGGGGGGGGGGCGATTTAAGCAAAAACTACCATTTTATTATGGGTTTAACAAATATGTTAAATGCAATAAGCTTTCTGAGCAAACAAAATTTCTGAGAAAAATCACAAAAATAAATTCACATATTTTTATTTTAAAAATTATTTTAGATATCATATAGTAGGGATCTCATTACTATATCTTTCTTAAATTTTATAAAAATCAAATCACTAACTTTTTGCCTCTTGCCTCTTCTTCTAATGTATAGATAATCAGCCTCACTTCCTTTCTGGATGTAGAAGTGGTATAAATAATGCATGAGAAATGTAATGTCTCAGTATTTAGAAACATGTTGAAGATGAGGTAGTGCGTGGTAATGCCACCACTTTTGTAACACTCAAAAGTATCTGTCAGCTAATGGCCAATTCCAAGGCTGCTGGGAATGGGGGCGTGGGAAGTGGCGGGGCGGGGAGGGGGCAGGTGGCAATGACACTACAGGAAGTGAAGCCCCTGGTGAAAGGTTGTGGTTCTTCTCTTGTATGAACACACTTCATCTGCACCTGTAATACACTTCAACAAGCCAGTTTTGAAAACACAAACAAGCTGGCAAAGAGGCGTGTTTCTGCCTGGCGGGCAGCACCCTCACTGCTGATCACTGTGGTAGAGAATCGGGGGTCCTGAGTTTGGCCCCTCCTATGGGGCCTGTCTGGGGTTCTAGAAGCCAAGGGCCCACCCTACTAGTCTCTGCCACCCACTGTCAAGTAAAAAATAAAACTGGACTTAGTAAACGGAGACTTATTTGAAAGAATGATTGCAAGGGGGATGGGGACTTCTGCAATAGAGAATGCTGTGGCCAAGGCCTGCAAGTGTCTTAAGGCTTAGGGCTCAAGATGCTTTCATAGGGAGAAGACAACAAGGCTAGAAAGGACTGGAAGTGGGAGGGAAGGGTGGCATGAGGAGACAGTACTCCGAGGCCAGCCTTACCTCAGGAGGGGCTGTCTGCAGGCTCAGGCTGAGGATGACCCAACGTTCAGGGGCTTGGAAGGAGAGAATTTAGGCAAAGTTTTGTTAACAAGCATTTTGCTCCAATTGATTAGCAGGGACAAGCAGTTGGGCTAATCATTGATGAGACTAAGAATGGGAATTGGAGTTTGTGATTGGCCTTTTCATAGGTAAAGGGGGAGGGGAGCATCTGTGACTTACTAAGTCACAGGGAAGGGTGATTCTTTGCAGAGAGCTGTTTTCTGGAACACAAAAGGGTGAAGGGTGAGGGAAATTCCTTTTACCATCACTGTTTTCCAGAAGCACAGGGCTCAAATAAAATTCAACGTTGTCACTACTCAACTGGGGATGAAAATTATAATAGTTACCTATGATTTTATTATTTATTAATTTTTTTAACATATTTTTATTGATTTCAGAGAGGGAGAGGGAGAGATAGAAACATCAATGAGAGAGAATCACTGATTGTTTTCTTACAGTACACCCCCTACTGCGTTTGAGTCCACAACCTAAGGGCTTTGCCTTTGACCAGACTCTAGCCTGGGATCCTTCCATCCACAGGCCGATGCTATATTCACTGAGCCAAACCGGCTAGGGCGTTACCTATGACTTTAATATTTTTACGTGCTCTGAAAGTGCCAGGTGTGTAGTAAATGCGCCATGAATATTTGTTAATCTTATTTACCTGAGAAACCCTTGAGGGCAGGGGTTGTGTTTGCTGTGTTTTCTTCAGGGCTAGTACAGTAGCTGGAGCCCACTGACCTGCTGCATTGGCCTTCAGCAAGCCTGTCTCCATCTGTAAATAAGACATAATCTCTACCTCACCGGGCTGTTGAGAGAATTTACACAACGTTGAGGAGTCCGACGGGCCCAGACAGTATCGGACATATCCCTGGTGACCAGCAGCAAAGACTCCCCTTGACATAATATGGGTCAGGGTCTTGTTTAGTTTTAGCAAGAATCCTGCTGGGTCCATTTAGTAAAAATCCCTGCCCTTAGTCTATCATCGAATTCCTCGTCCCTCAACCTTGATGGCTATGACCCTGGCCTTCCGGCAAGAAACCTGTGAAGTCGATTTAGCAGAATCGCCCTTACCCCGTGTTTCCTCTGTAATATTTCCATCCGCGGACCCGCCCTGCTCTTGGTGACAGATCTGCACTTGCTGTGTCCCATCGCCCTCCCCATCGCAACCCCCCATCGCGGTCGACCCCTGAACCAAGCCCGCTTCGTCCTCTTTTACAGCTGCCATGGGTAATTTTCTAACACCATATAGGATTCGCTTCTCTTCCACCGGCCGCGGGTGCAGCACCCGGAGCTCGAAGTCAGCATCGGTCACTTTCCAAAGGACATGGTTTGCCACTTTATGTCACCGAGCTCGGGCTACCCCGCTGTGAAACTCAAAGCTAAGAACCTTAGTTGTAAAGAATGGATAAACACGATGGCTGTGAAGCTGTCATCGCAGAGGAACCGCAGGCAGGACCCACGTGGGAGAAAAATTGAAGCAGCCCAGCGCGACCCCAGACCGCAGACCTTTAACCCGGACCAGCCGCGGCACCCACCGCTCCTCCAGGGACTCCGTCCGATTGGACGAGCTTTGAGAGTCCACACCCCTCGCGCGAACCTCTGACGTCTCGGGGGGGGGGCGGTACGAACCAATAGGAACGAGTCCCCGCGAGACGCGACGCGGCGCAGACGCGAAGAAGGTCCTTACACGAGGAGGGGAGAACTGCGCAGGCGTTTGATTAAAGATCCAATCCAGAGAGGACAACTTTGCGCACGCGCCTTGGAAGGCTCGTCAGAGACGCGACAGAGCCAGCGCATGCGCTCTGAGAATGCCGGGTAGCAACTCTCCCAACTCTCCAGACCAGAGCAACCTTGGGTAGGAGAGAGTAGCCCTGCGCATGGGCAATGAATTTATTTCAGAATTTTGCGTATGCTTGCAAGCCAGGATGTTCTGCGCCTGCGCAGTTCTTGTGTCGCCTTGGTTTGACTCTAGTGCGCCTGCGCGGTCTTTTGTTTCTTACTCGTAGCTGCCGGACCAATCGGCGTTGTCTTCGGCCTGGAGGTCGGCGGACTGGGAACGTTTGAACCGCGGGGTTCCGAATGGCCCGCCAGGGATGAACCCCAACCCCGGGGGCAGCGCCGGGAGGGAAGGGGTGTGAGGCCTGGGGGAGGAGGGAGGGTGTGGGCAGGTGCCGCGCCCGAGGGAGCAGGTGGGGCCCGCGCGCTGGGCGCTGAAGGACCGGGCTTTCCCACTCGGCCACTCGGCAGGAGCTAACTCAGCATCAGCATCGCGTTGTGCCCCTCAGGATGCGAAGACCGGTAAGTCACCATGCTTAGGGGGGGGCCGTCCAGGGGGCGAGGGGCTGGGGTCACGGCGACAGAAAGAGCCAGTCCACCCGGTGCAGGCAGAGCCAAACGCTAGACACGGGGGCTGAAGTGGAGAAATACGGGCTGTTTTATTGATGAAGGGCGCCATCCAGGAGACCGGCGCTAATGCCCAAAAGCAGGAACTTGGCTATAGATTATTCCGGCAAAGGCACAGGACACCGTGGGTTAGGGGTTCCGGTTGTGCTGGGTGCCCATGATGAGAAGGTGAGGTGAGGGAAATGAATCTTCTGATCTTGAGAGCTTTGAGGTCTTTTCCGGTCCGTCTGTCCGGTCTCACGGGAAAGTAGGAGCTGACCCATAACGTAGGTCAAGATGTCATGTTCAGCCTGACCGAGGCCGGGACTGGGACCCCATTCGGCAGGCCCGGCTGCTGCCTTCTGATGCCTGGGGGCGGGGGGCGGGTCCTGATTATCCAGGGGAAAGGCCTTGTCTCTGAGTATAGAGAGAAAGGGATGGGATTTCCAGAGTGAGGATAGAAACCAAGTCAGTCCTGAGGACCTCAGTTTCAAATGGTGCCCTGTCGTCAGGTTCCTTCCTGAGAAGTTAAGGACTGGCTTGTTCAGCAGCCTCGGTTGAGTGCCTGCTGTGACCCGGGCGGCTTTCAGGTTCCAGGGAAATGCAGAGCGATGTGTTTGCCCTGGAAGAGCTCACAAGCTGGTATTATAGACATGTGAGCAGGTATTAGTGCTGCATGTGGCAGCTGCTATCAGAGACGCTCCAGGGCCGTTGGAACATGAAACACTGCCCGGGAGCCTTGGCGGGCCCCTGCAGGGGGTCGCTGAAGGTGGGATAGGTTTGCCAGAGAAGAGGGGAAAATATTCTTCTGAACAGATATTTATCCTGTGCCCACTGCATGCCTGGTATTGTGCCGGGCCCTGGAGACACAGTGGTGACCCAGACAGATGGGGCCCTGCCCTCAGAGTTTATGTCCAGCAGAGAAGTCCATTGTCGAAGGACCCTCGCACTGGCACATGAGATGTGTGTTAAAAGGACAAGTGTCGGAAGCTGCAGGAACCTACCGGGGACCAAGTCTGTATGTGGTCGCCCTCTCTCTGTATATATTTTCTAAGTCTCAGTGGTTGACATGTTGGCCACTGGAGTCATCACAGTTTTATTTTATAAAAAGGAATTGTATGGATTCACGTGTCCCTCATGGTGTTTGCTGTAACTTATTTCTTCCTCCACCAGCAGTCAGCCTGAGCTGGCGGTGGGCCTGACGGCAGAAGACAGCAGCCGAGACGCGCTGGCGGGGCCAGGGGCTCTCTGGGAGGCCCTCTGGGCGCTCCTGCCCCGCACCAAAGAAGAACTGCGGTTGGACCTCGGTGCGAGCGTGGAGGGGAGTGTGGTGGTGCTGCTGCAGCAAGCCGCCGACCTCTTCTACGGGGGCAGAAGGAGCGAGTGTCTGCAGACGAGCGAGGTGGTCCTTGACTACTCCTGGGAGAAACTCAATACCGGGCTGTGGCAGGACGTGGACAAAGACTGGCGTCGGGTGTATGCCTTCGGCTGCCTCCTGAAAGCCATGTGTCTGTGTGAAGCGCCTGGGGACTCGGCCACCGTGGCCACAGCCCTCAGAGTCTGTGACATGGGCCTGCTCATGGGAGCGGCCATCTTCGATGACATCCTCATTAAAGTTGCTGCCGTCCTCCAGGCGCACCTTCCCCCTGGAAAAAGGCCTGCCCAAGGTCCGGCCCCGGAGCAGCCCCGCTTAAAGGTATCATGGTGGCATTGTCCTCGACCACACCTAACACAACCCAATAGCCCTGTTTTTCTAGAAGTCACCTCTCTGGCTGAAAATAGCATCTCCATCGACTTGGAAATAGAACAGCTCCATCTATTTTCTCAGTTTCTTCTTCCGGTTTCTGCAGAAGCAGTGTCCTTTTGGGAGAGGAAGGGTGCAGCTTCGTCGTTCCTAAGAGAAACAGCTCAGGGATTGTGTGGGTGAGAGTGCAGCCAGCTCGCCCATCTCTTTCAGCTTCTTGGTCAGCTGGTTGAAGTATCACCCACTTTCCTGGCTGCCTCTGTCCCTGTGCTGCTGAGTTTGGGGGAGATAGCACAGTTATCTGTCTTCTGATCAGGTGACTGATCAGTCCTGCCCTGTAGATCCTTGCACATGTCCCTGCTGGTATTTAAGCGCACGTGGCAAAGGATGGTTTACTGAGACGGCTTCAAAGCCCAGTGCTGACACACAGACCTCTGGGCAGGTCTGTTCACAAAGAGGAAACATCTATAAAAAAAGTGTGGGGAAATGTTCAACCTCATCTTGGTTTTAAAAAACAGGCAGTCATTTTTAGCTGTGAAATTATTAAACAAGCTTTTGTACAATATCCAGCATTGCCAAGGGTGCCAAGAGCTAAGTACATGGTGTGTTCACTGACCTTGGAGAGGGCAGGGCAGACGTGTAGACCAAGGGACAAAAACCTGTCCCCTTTGACCCAGGTGTTACAGTGCCCTTTCCCATGCTGAGTCTGTCCCAGGGCATATGGAGCTGGCTTCGTGGCCAAGGTGGTACTCATGGTGTGGGTGGTGTTGGCCAGTGGACATGCTAATAGATAAGGGCCTGAGAGCGCAGGCTCTGGAGCCAGCCTGCCTGGGCTCAAGCTCCCACACCGCCATCCACTACCTGTGAGTCAGGCAAGTGTCATAGTCCCTCTGTGCCCCCGCTGCTCCCTTGCCTGTAAGAGTGGGTTTTCTCAGCAGCTTTACGGAGCACCAGCAGTGGCCCAGATGTGCCAGCGCTAGGTGATGGTACAGTACAGAAGGGCCCAGGCCCTGTCCTCCCAGCGCTGACAGTCGAGTGAGGCTGTAAAAGGTGGGGGGAGGCAGCTTCAGGGAGTGTTCAGGGAAGGCCTCTTAGATGAGGGACATCTACATATATAAAAGCCTAATACGAAAAGTGTCCCCTCCGGAGTTCAACTGATGGAGTTCCATTGCTCACTATGACGTGCCCTGACCACCAGGGGGCGGTGCAGAACGAAAGAAGGCCCCGGCCAGCAGCAGACAGCCAGCAGCCGCTAGGGACCCTACCCATGCATGAATTTTGTGCACTGGGCGTCTAGTATGAACACAAAAGCTTGTTGTGACAGTGACGAGAACAAGCAGGTACAGGTCCCAGCACATCCTCTGCATGTAAGGATGTTAGCTGCGCTGCTGCCACTGCTGCAAATGTGGAGAACAGGCTTGGGGTCCGGCGATGGGGGCAGAGGACGCTGACACACGCCAGGCGGTCATCCTGGGTTCACACATGAGAGCTCGTCTCCCAGTAGTTTAACAGATAAGGAAACTGAAGCTCAGAGACAGTCACTTACTCAGGTCAGTCAGTTGGGAGATGAGTAAGTAAATTATGATGTAACCACTCCTGGGACATTGCAAGGACTGGTGGAATCAGGGAAACTGCTTTAGATAAATTATTGGACGGGAGAGGCGGAGTTGCGTGTTCATCATGAGTATATTACCCACAGATCAGCAATGTGTCTGAAATGGTGGGGAAGGCACTAGGGAAGGAGAAAGAATGCCCTTATGTTAGATGATGGAGTGTGGGATAGTAAGTTTTCCTCTAATGCAGAATTTCTGTGAAAGCAACATACTACTTTTATAATTGAACAAACATTGGAAATGACCTGGTAAAGAAAAAAATACCTTGCTCTCAGGAGAAGTGAACAGTAGCAGCAGCAGTAATGATGATAATAAATGTTAGCTATTACTGTTATTAATGACCCAAAGCTCTCCTACTGTTGATGCAAATTCCTTGGTGGTTGCCACCTGTTTTGTTTTATTTTAAACAGAAAGCCAGGAATGGCCATGTTTCGATTCCCGATATGAGGTCAGAGAAAGCAGTCCCCCGGCTTCACTGTCCGTCCCTGCAGCATTTCAGGAAGCATTATTTGATTCCACAGACGCCTGTGATCTTGGAAGGCGTGGCCGACCATTGGCCGTGCATGAAGAAGTGGAGGTGGGTGGCTGCTGAGGGCCAGAGGTTCTCCCTCCTTTCAGCATTCCCAGACTCCCTGCACTCCTCCCCAGCATCTCTAAGTAGCACAGCCCCTGGACATGTCACTACCAGGCCCTAGAGTGGGTGGCTGAGGGTTAAACAAGAACTGACAGCCCTGGTCTGGTGTCTCAGTGGTTAGAACATCAGCCTGCACACTGAAGGCTGCAGGGCAAGGGCACATACCTGGGTTGCAGGTTCGGTCCCCAGCCTTGGTCAGAGTGCATTCAGGACGCAACCATTCGATGTGTCTCTCACATCATTGTTTCTCTCACTCTCCTCTCTCCATCCCTCCCTTCCACTGTCTCTAAAAATCAATGGAAAAATTATCCTCAGGTGAGGATTAACAACAACAACAACAAAAGTTGTGGACTCAATTCTTGGTCAGGGCACACACCTAGGTTCCGGGTTCAATCCCTGGTAAGGTGCATACAGGAAGCAACCGATTGATGTGGCTCTCTGACGTCAGTGTTTCATTCTCCCCTTTCTTCTCTGAAATTAAAAAAATAAAAATGGGAAAAGGAGAAATATGTAATACTTTAAGCAATAAATAAATAAGTAAATCCTCGGGTAAGGATTAAAAACAAACAGCACCAGTCAGAGCTCTGGATCTTCGCCAGATCTAAGACTCTCACCCTCCCACTTGCTTGCCCGAAGCCGTTTTTAATTCGGGCTTCAGGGCAGTCCAGGGTTAAGTCTCTTACGCAGTTTTGTAGGATCTTGGGAATTTTGTGCACTTCCTCGAGGGCCCTGAGGTTTCAGAGTAGAAATAAGGGCCCCAGAAACAGCCTGTCCCCTTCTCTGGGCACCTACGGCTCTTGTGTTTGCTTCCTCCTCACACCTGCCTGTAGTCCCGCCTCAGGCTCAGGCTCAGGGAGACAGGCAGCTGGAAAGGGGCCGTATCACCATAGCTGCGCATCTTTTTGGAAATGAGGAGGGTCTCTAGGGAAGGGTGAGCGAGTCAGCCTGCCACGGTGGTAGCCTTGTGGAGGAAGTGGCTCCCACTGAGACAGAGGAGCTCTGACTGCAGCAGCCCATGTGCCAGCAAGCATGCGGCATACGTGCCAGGCATGTTTCACTGCGTGCCAGGCGTGTTCCATGTTTCACTGCATGCCAGTGGTGTTGCATGTTTGCTGTGTGCCAGGCGTGTTCCATGTTTCACTGCATGCCAGTGGTGTTGCATGTTTGCTGTGTGCCAGGCATGGTACATGTTTCACTGCATGCCAGTAGTGTTGCATTTTTGCTGTGTGCCAGGCATGGTACATGTTTCACTGCATGCCAGTAGTGTTGCATTTTTGCTGTGTGCCAGGCATGGTACATGTTTCACTGCATGCCAGTGGGGTTACATGTTTGCTGCGTGGTACATGTTTCACTGTGTACCAGGTGCCAAGACAGGCCCTTGCCATGTTTAACTCTCTTTTTCCTGGTTCCTGTGGGACAGGCACAGTCGTCACCACCATTTTGCAGTGATGACCAGAGGCTCAGTGAGGTTAGGTAACTTGCTAGATCCCCAGGTCTATTGCGGCAGGGTTTGGAGTCAATGCCAGGCCACCAGGGTTGAGACCCAGGCACTTCTCCACGCTGTACTGCTGGCCATTTACTCAGCTGCGTGACAAGGCGTGCAGAGAGAAGGCTCCTGGCAAGCTGTAGCAGAGCAGCCAGGGAGAACTGAGGCAAATGAGGTTTATTGGATCTGTCTGCAAAGCCATCCAGCGCCAGGAGGGCGGAGCCTCACCTCTGCCCGTGGGTTCTAGTCCAGTGGTCGCCAACCGGTGGTCCGTGAGGTCCAAAAGGTTGGCGACAGGTGGTAGCCAGTGCAATGGGGGTGGCAGCTTCCACCTCACAAGTGGTGATGCTGAGAGGAGACCAGTGTCCAGCGTGCTGAGCAGAGTGCCCTGCACGCGCGAGCAATAGTGATGAAGTGACGTGTATGTTTTCTGACAGCTTGGAGTATATACAAGAAATTGCTGGCTGCCGCACTGTCCCGGTGGAAGTGGGCTCCAGGTACACCGACGAGGAATGGTCCCAGAGGCTCATGACGGTCAGTGAGTTCATCAGCTGCTACATCCTCAACGAGGTATGTCATTCTGACTCGTTTCTAATACTTATTGGAGGAACACGTTACATTTGGGCACATAACTCCGTGCACCGCACTGGAGGGTTGGGAGTGGTCAGTCTCTAGGAGTCTTGTCAGGAGGCGGCCACAGCCAGGAAGGCAGGCTGCTGGGTAGGCAGGTGGGCCACGTGACAGGACGTGAGGGGCTCATTTCAGAAACGTTGTTGTACATTTCAGTGTCTTGAGTATATTCTAACATTGTGCAACCATCCCTACTGTGTAATTCCGGAAAATGTTTATCACTCCCAAAAGAAACCCCAAACTCAGTCATAGTCGCCTCCCACTCCCTTTTCCCCATCTCCGGGCAACCACTAACCTGCTCCTGTTTCTGTGGATTTGCCAGTTCTGGGCACTTCCTGTAGATGGAGTCATGCAGTGTGTGGCCTTCTGAGTCTGGCTTCTGTCACTGAGCCTCATGCTTCCAAGGCTTGTGGCACCTGTCAGTGCTGCCCTGCATTCCTCTTTACGGCCGATCGTATTCCACTGTGTGGAGAGACCATGTGCTGTTTATCCGTTCGTCATTGGGGGCAGTTGAGCTGTGTGCACTTTCCGTCAGTATCAAAATGCTGCTGGAGCCCTGGCCGGTGGCTCGGTTGGTTGGAGCATCTTCCTGTACACCAAAAAGGTTGTGGGTTCGATTCCCTGTTGGCACAAAGCCAGGTTGCAGGCTCCATCCCCAGTCGGGGCACATATGGGTCCTTCACATATGGGGTGTGCTGCGTGGGCCTGGGCATCTCCCTCCGCCAGGAGGAAGCCTGCTTGCTCGGCAAAGGCGGAGCCAGAGGGTGTGCGCGGGTCAGGGTGTGCGCTTGCAGTTCAGGCAGAACAGCACTGTATCCAGCACTGGCCCTGGCTGGCTGTGTGTCGTCGGCTGGTTACTTAACCTCTCGGGTCGCCAGTGCCCTGACCTTTGGTTAGTTAGGTCGGTTGGGGTCGGTTGAGGTTACCGACTCTTCCTAGGGTCATTTCGAGAGTAGCAGGGGAGCTCCAAGAGCACAGCTGGCGCTCAGTTACCACGGCCTTCGGTCCCTCTGCACCAGGGGCTGGAGGTCACGTCACATCTGGCTCTGCCGGCGCTTAGTGCAGGGTCTGGCATTTTTAAACTGTTTGTGGGAAGGAAGAGAGGATGAAGGAGAGAGACAGAAAGACAGATTTTTGAGGAATCCTGGGGGAACTTCTTTCCTTCAACACCGTTTCAGCCTCAGAGCTCGAGGCCAAGCCAACTCCGCCCTGGAGCCCGAGGGCTGCACCTGGCGTCCCTCCACTCCTCCGGTGGATCCTCACCGAGGCCCAGGCGCCTGCAGAGAAGCCCTCGGCCCGGGGCCGGTGTGTGAAACTGACCTTTTCACATAGTGATAATCTCCAAAGATGTAGGAAAATGGGCGCTCAGATTAATTGCTGGAAAGAGTCTAAATCATTTAACTTTGGGGCAAATAACCCGGCAGAAGCTATGAAAATTTAAAAAGCACATACTCCTTGTCTCAGTTCTGCTTTTGGACATAGTATCTTATATAATAAAGAGCTAATATGCATATGGTCATCACACCCTCATGACAGGGCCGGGGGACCTGAGGCTGAGCCTCCTGCCTTGTGGGGCTTGATGGGGGTGGGGCTGGCCAGGTCTGGGTCTCACGCGATTTCGAGGCGTGCACGGGTGGGCAGGGACTTGACTCTGGGTCCCGCGGCACACCCCAGACTCTGACAGGAGGGAGATTTTTATATACATTTTATTAATTTTCTTTTGTCTCTGACACTTCTATTATAGAGAAAGGGCAAACAGCAATATTAAAATATTTCCTCTAATTAATTCCATTTTAATGTGCACGAATTTCATGCACCGGGCCACTAGTATGAATATAAGGACCAAACTATTAGGCTGTTGATGAAACACTAGCAAACACCCCAAATGGGCAAAACAACCCCAATGTCCACCAGCAGGGGGAAAGGTGAGTTAATAACAGTGTATCTGTCAATAAAGAAGTATCCCTCAAAAGAATGAGTCAGACACGTATGTATCGACTTGAGAGATTCGTGGTGAAATGAAAAAAGCAGATTTCAAAGTAATACATATAATATATATAATATGATTCCATTTTTATTTTTTTAAATCATCCCCTTCATTTTTTCTCCAAGAGGATATTAAATTGTTTATTGATTACACATGGTAATGGATGATACACAGGTTTCATTCCCATCTGTAATTTTATCTGGTGCTGTAATTCAGTGTAGATATATTGCACAGGATAAGTCAACAATCAGTAATAACCTAATAGACTCCATGACTCTGCTTGGGTGACCCTTTTAACGGTGAACTCCAGGCCACTACACAGTAGCTGTCAGTTCAACACACCAGGGTTTCTGAAGACACTGGCTTCTGTGCCCAGCAGTTTCAGATGGAACCTGACATCACTCTGAAGTGATTCCGACGTCACACCTTTGGGGTAATTTACCAAGATGGCTTCAGAGCAGCCTAGCTTTACCCAGCACATGTAATAAAAGACACGTCACTCGGTGTCGTGATCCGACTATTCCATTTAGCCATCAACAGCATGGTGCAAAAAATCTACATCAAACCCTTTGTCGGAATGCTTTCCACTTTCCCCAGAACAGAAACTAAAATAACCTGTTACACAGTTAGTCACAAGCACAGTCCTCGAGGTTTTTGCCCTTTCACATGAGTGTTTCTAAACCAGCGGTCGCCAGCCTTTCAGACCTCACAGACCACCAGTGGTCTGCGGACCACCGGTTGGCGACCGCTGGTCTAAACCACATCTTCTTGGTAGCAGCGAGGCCCTGCCACCACTGAGCTTGGCTGCGTTCACAGGTCGCTGTAGCCTGCAGCTTCCCTGGCCCTTCTCTGCTCTCCTCTCCTGCTGAGCATTGTTTCCCGGTAATTAAACCTGCCGCTGCTGGAGCCGCCACAGCCACCTTGGTTTCGTGGTTTGGCAAAGTGTTCGCTTCCACCACCATAGGAGCCAGAGCTTCTGCCTCCAAAGTTTCCTCCTTTCATGGGTCCACAATTTGAAGATGCCAAAATCACTGTAGCTTCCGCCACCTCCAAAACTGCTTCCATCATTACCAACCCATGACAGCTACTGTCCCCACTGCCACCAAAGCCACTCAGCCACAAAGTTCCCTCCACGACCAAAGTCGTCATTCCCACCAAACCACCTCCACGGCCACCTCCGAAGTTTCCAGAACCCTTCGACCTCTTGGGCACTGGCCATCTCTTGCTTGGACAGGGCTCTCCCTACTTCTCAGTGTGGCCATTCACAGGATGGTATTTCTGAATGACAGTCTTGTCTATGGAGTCAGGTCACCAAAGCCAACCTCTCCTCTCGCCACTGCCTGGCTCAGTCATGGTTTCAATCACTCCATCTTCCCACAGTTCAGAATAGCCTGTTAGGTGAGTTCTCCTGTGTCTTCTTCAGTGCAGCCAGCAGAAATCTTCCTCACAGTGCGGTGGGGACCAGGTCTTTGAGATTCCTCTGGACACAGCCCTTGCTGACCTGGCATTCGTGGCTGCATCCACCTGTTTGGCATCATGACAAGCCCAGAGCCTCAGGGGCGCTTGGTGATTGATCTCATCACAGCCTGTGCCCCCTGGCTCAGAAGGGCTCCTCCGACTCACATCGTTTGTTTCAAAGCTCAAACCTCCGATGAGGAGCCTTGGCAGCTATTGGCTCTTTGGGAGACTCGGACTTAGAAGGGTTGATGACTGCGGAGGGGAGACCAGCGATGCTGACTCCGCGGCTCCACGGCAGAAAGGAGTGATCTAACCAACGTATCTGCCCTTTTTTTAAATTGATTTTAGAGAGAGGAAGGTGGAGAAACACCAGTTTGTTCCACTTCTGCATTCGTTGATTCCTTCTTGTATGTGCGTTGACTAGGGATCCAGCCCACAATCTTGGTGTATGGGGATGATGCTTAACCAACTCAGCTACCTGGCCAGGGCCTGCCCCTTCATTTTTAATTTGAGTCAACTGAGCCCTGGGCACAGGCTGATAAGCTCCAGCAACCTCTGGCAGAGGCAGCACCGGTCCTGAGACCACATCAGCCGCTGGGTGGGAGGAGGGGAACCAGCAGGACAGAGGGGGCCCTCCGCGTGGCTGCCCGGGGCTGGGGCAGGGGCAGGGGCATGGGGTGGTGAGAGCCAGCTAAACAGTAGTAGCACCTGGAGGGCGTCCATCACCACTAACGGGCTTTCTGTGTTGCCTCTGGTTTTTCTCCCATGGACCAGCCAAGGGACGTCGGGTACCTGGCCCAGCACCAGCTCTTAGACCAGGTAGGTCTGAGACCGCGCTCCTCTGCCCTTCACTCTCAGCTCCCCTGCTCCCTTCCTGGGCTCTGACCCCAGAGGGCAGCAAAGGGTAGCAGCCTCATTTGCCACCCACTGGTGCTCCTCCCTGCAGAGAGCAGACTGGCGCCCTGTGCATCGCCCTCCTCACCAGCAGGTGGCAGGAGAGCTGGCAAGGCCACCAGTCCTGAGAGCCCAGGGCCCCAGGATGGCTAGGGATGGGGGGGGGGGGGAGGAGGGGAGGGATAGTTGGGGGAGTCCACAGCTTCAGGTGTGGTCAGAACTGGAGAAGGAGTCCCAGGCAGCCAGGCAAGGGCGAGTCGCTGCCTTCCCTGCAACAGTTTTCTGGGCAGGTCCTGGCACCGCCCTTACACGTCTCATGTCCCCGGCAAGGCTCTCCCCACCCTGGGCCTGCGCACTCGTGGCAGGGGCCGGGTTTGACTCCCTGGGTACCCAGCCTGGTGGCCGGATTTAAGGCCCCGAGGACACACCTGCTGAAAACTGAACGAGGAAGGGGGCACAGGCTGCAGCTGGGAGGAAGGGGGCGCAGCGAGGTCAGAGGCAGGAGGAGCTCCCAGCGGGCAGTGCCTCACTCAGAGGCCAGAGGGGCCAGTGGGACGGCCGTGTTGGGTACATCAACCAGCCTGGGAGGGTTTGTCCAGAATTGCAGAGCAAGGAGCCGGCGAGGAGGGAGGCTGGGGCCAAACTGGGGAGGGCCTTGAATGCCAGGCCAAGAACTCAGATTTATCTGGAAAACAGCAAGGAGCCCTGTGAGGTTTTTCACAGGAGGGTTCCTAGTAAGAGGCAGTAATTCCAATGGAATCCAGCAGGACAGCCAGGGAGCCGGGGTACTTGCGAGGGACAGTGATGGGGGGCGGGGCAGGCGGGGGACACAGCGTAGGGAGTAGAGGTGCCGCTGCCACAAATCAGCGCCTGTGAACAGACAGCAGAGCGTGACCCTGGCCAGCATGGGCATCACTGGGAGCTCCCAGCCATGTGGCCTCCATCCTGGGGCTCGGTGGCTGGGCTCGAGGTGACGGGGGCTCCAGAGCCGCCAAACTTGGAGCTCACGAAGCGGTCACGGGAGCTCGGGACCTCCTGGCTGTGGGAGCGGAGAAAACCAGGGCGCAGGACTACGTAAAGGATGCACTTCGCTGCGCTGAGGACGGGAAATGCCACAGAAGATAGCAGTGATTGTCTGTGGGCGCTGAGCGGTCTTTTCCTTCTCATTTCTGTAGTTTCCAAATCCTCTAGAATGAGTATGAACGCCATCATAATGAGAAAAGGTAGACTTGTTTTCAAATGCAAACAACCCGAGAACCAAGAGAAGTGGCAGGAATGAGGTTGGGCTCCTTTGCAGCGCTGTCTACTGAGGACGCTGGGCAGCCAGAGGCGGCTCGTCCTGGGGAAAGGGGTGAAGTTGGGCTTTCTACCCAGACCCTTCCACGTGCCCACCCCTCACTTCTCACTCAGCACTTGGGGGGTGGCTGGGCCAGGACCCGGGGCCAGGAGGGAGTGGGCTTCTCTGTAGGCCCCTGTGCACCAAGCACTGGGCCTGCCCTGGATACGGGGCTAAAGGCGTCAGAGTCACCCTGTCCCCGGGGGCCTACGACCATCACTCAGATGGTGAGGAGTCCCCAGAGGAAGGAGGGGCTCCAGGAGGAGGCTGGCGGGAGAGTGGCTCTCGGGGTGGGGCAGCCAGGGAAGGCGTCTTGGGGTCACATTGGAGCAGGGCCCCGAAAGGTGAGCAGTGGCCAGCCATGTGAGGAGGTGAGAGGAGGGCGGCCGGCAAGGGGAGCAACAGGAGTGAACTTTCACCTTCAAGGGGTGGGGGCTGAGAAGTAGGTGGGGCTGGGTGAGGAAGGACAGTTTTCCGAATGTGATGGGGGACTAGAGGGTGGTGTTGACAGCATATGGGGTGCTGGCACCTGGACTGGTGGGTAACCGAGGTTGAGGGAAAGGGAGCAATCAAGGACGATTCCTGGATTTGGGAGCCAACCGACTCATTACATGAAGGAGTCCAGGAGAGGTGCTGGTATGGTCTCAGCCAGGCCAGAGACACGGGGGGTGGGGGGGGGGGGGGCAGCAGGAATGCCCAGGGAAGGCAGCTCCTGCAGGAGGCGAGGCCAGGCAAGTGAGTCGGTGGCAGGACCACAGCCAAGCATGGGCTGGGCCCCTGTCTGCCAGCGCTATCCTCACTGCCTGTCCTGGGGTGGGGTAGGGGGTCCCAGGTTCAGTAGGGGCTGCGCCAGCCTCCAGGAACCTCCACCCCAAAGTTAGAGAGGGCTGGGTGGGCGTGTTGTCTTTTCCCCAGGCCTCCCGTATTAGGGCTTGCAGGTCCTGCCTCCTGGACTCTCTTGCTAGGAGGAGAGGGGGTTCTCATTGACCAGCCCCTACTGTGTGATCCGAGACCTCAGTCACACTGGGCACAGCCTCCCAGGAGGCCGTGAGCCACAGGAATATGGCTCTCTGCCCTGGAGCAGCCATCGGAGGAGAACAAGAGGAAGCTGTTTGAAGAGAAGGCAGCTTGTGATTATTTTGAAGATGTTTTGGCTGTTGCCGGAGTCTTTATCTGGGGTCCTAGGGGCGTTTTCCCCTCTGCTGTTCAGTGCGTGGTGGGGAAGTGTGAGCAGCGGGGCCCTGGGGCGTCATGCGGGGCAGAGGGGCTGGGGCCTCTGCGCTGCAATCCGGGCCTTCTCTGCCCACGCGAGGCTCAGGGCCGCCCACTCAACCTCTTGCCCAGTGTCTCTTACTGACCTCCTCCCAGAGGCCCCGGGTTTAGGTATTGGCGACTGCACTAGGCCTGCTTTTAACTATGTCATATTGCGGGAGGCTTTCGTCTCTTGGGGTCTCTGAATCCTGGGCCAGTGCTCTGATAACATCAACCAATCACCTTTCGGAAATCCTGATGATGTCATCAGGAACCAGTGAGCTGCTCAGCATCCCACAGGGCCTGGTATGGGGAGAAGGCCACGGACAGGGTCTTCTCCCTTAGCCCTGAGCAGTGCCCACAGACGCGTTTCTGTGTCTACACCGGCTGCTGAGACAGACTTAGACCACAGACTGCAGGGTCTGGTCAGGGTCCTGCAGGACATTCCAGCTGTTCCCAGCACCCCAACTCGCAGTAGCCCCTCTGCAGGGATGGCGTGGCCAGGCTCCCTGCCCAGGACACCTGGCACCTGACACTGGGCACCTTCAGACCAGGCGCTTCCTCTGAAAGCCCCTGAGGCAAGTAGCAGAGGTGGTTCCAGGGCCAGTCCCATCCCTCTCAGGCTGGGAAGTGCCCCTGGGCTCAGCTGGCCCTGCCACGGGCTTGTGAGGAACCCACACCCCTCGGGGTGGGGCTGGAGGCTGCTCTGGTGGGGCCGGCACTGGGGGTCGGGGCAGGAGGTGGGTACATCCAGGGTGAGAGGTGTCTTCACTGGGAGCCGCTGGCTGGTTCTTTCCACATGAGGCCAGGACCAGCGCGCCCTGCCCGCACCGCCAGGGTTGCCCGCACTGGCAGTGGCCCTGAGGCTTTGGGAAATTCAAGGGAAACTGAAGCCTGGGCCCAAAAAGAATCGCATGAGTTAGAGCCATAAAGGAAGTCTGGTTGAGCACAAAATGGGCTGGGCTCGCAGGGAAAACGTCTCCTCTCACTCATTGGGCGCAGACGGTCTGTCTCGGGCGGTCCCTGCGCCCGGCCTGTGTGCAGCTTTGGAAACCTGCGGTAGACCCGCCGGGCTTTTAGAGGAGGAAGCCACCTTGATTTCCAGTGTCCTCCTTTCCTCCTCCTCCTGAGGCAGAGATGTCAGGCTGCCTCTGCCCAAAAGAGGGCGTGGGCTGGGGAGGCAGGGGCGGTGAGGAAGCAGTAGAGGGACCATCTTAAAGTACATCTTATCGGACGCCCTGACGTCAGACGAGATGCAGACACTGATGGTGCGGGCAGCGAGCCCACAGCACCTGCTTTCCTGGCAGCCTCCTCCTCCTGGGAGCGGGACATCACAGCCTCAACCCCCCACCCGGGAGCGCAGCGCAGCTCGCTTCCATCTGTCAGACGCGCAGGCTTTGAAGCCTTGTGCAGAGGACCGCCTCGCTATCTGAATGGCTTCCCGCGTGGCGCACCAGCAGCCCCGCGTGGGCACCCCTTCCACCACATCCTCACCACGCTGGCTGCTGCCACTCTGCAGCCTGATGGGTGGGAAACGATAACATCTCATTTGGATTTTTTGCTAACGGGACTGAACCGCGCCTTTATATCTAATTCATTTCTAGGTGTTATCTCGTTTTTGTCCTTTGTAGTGGGGTCCTTATCATTCTGAATGAACTGTGTACGTTGACCCTGACTTACACGGTTGCTCAAGCAGGGTGCCCGGTCTGCTGTCTTCATAACTGAGTGACTTGGCGCGTGCGGCCGTCGTTCTTTACCGTTGGTACATCTGGGAGCTCTTCCCCCAGAGATGTGATCGTCAGTCCCATTTTCTTTTTGTTCTGATTTTTTAAAATAATTAACTCTTTAGAAAATTACTAACTGAAAGAAAAAAAGAAAAAGAAAATTACCAACTGGTTTATTTTTTTTTAAAGGGTGAATTAAACCCATTAAAGACACATTTATAAGAAATTATATTCACGTAGATTGCCTGAGCCCCTTGTGCAGCCTGAGAGGGGAGATGAGCGCATTTAAGTGAAAATGTCGCCGGACGCCCCTAACTGGTTTATCCTTAAGTACAAAGACAAAGCACTGGTGTTGGGTTTTTAAAAGGAAAGACACATAAAATGCATATGACATGGAAACAAATCTGACATAAAATCATAGCTCTTCCCTATGATTACATTTTTCAAATTGAGTTTTAAATTCCTGTCCAGCACGAGAGGCCCAGTCGTGTATTACACAGGAGGACAGCGTGCATTTGGCCTTCTGTCAGGTAGTCCTGTGACTTCTGGGCTGCGTGCCCGGCCTGGCCTCGCCTCCCACGCCTGCTCTGCCACCCACAGATCCCGGAGCTGAAGCAGGACATCAGCATCCCTGACTACTGCTGCCTGGGCGACGGGGAGGAGGAAGAGATCACCATCAACGCCTGGTTTGGGCCCCCGGGCACCGTGTCCCCCCTTCACCAGGATCCCCAGCAGAACTTCCTGGCCCAGGTGGGAGTCGCTCCAGAGCACCTGCCGCTCCCGCGCCCGGCCCAGTGCTGCCTCATGGCTGCCTCCCCTCCCGCCCCTGCCTGGCTGGCCTCTCCTGCCAGAACCCTTCCCATGAGGAGCAGCTGCTCGGCCCCTGGTTTCCTGGGACCCGGAAGAGGGCAAGGGAGGGCAGCTGTGCAGCCGCCTTAGTGTTTCCTAAGCACAGGGTCCAACCGATGGGAACACGCCTCCAGCCAGGCAGATGGGTGCACAGAGCAGGCTGCCCCCTGCACACCGCTCGGCCCAGCGCTTTGTGAACCGGGCAGCTCACGCCGCCTCGCCAGCCCTGTGCTCTGTGGTGGGGAGGACCCGCCCCTGGCGGTGGGGTCGGAGCTGGTCCATGTGAAGCACTGGGACGGTGGCTGTCACAGCAGTGCCTAGCGATCGGCCACAGTGACAGGCACTGGTCGACGGTGGACCTGGAGGGACAGACGCTGGACTCGGCACATGTGCAGCGGGGATGGGATGGGGATGGGGCTGGCTGGTGCGGGAGCAGCGTGGAAGGTGCAGAGAGGCAGGGAGGGGGTTCAGGGACCTGCAGTCAGTGTGGGGCAGCAGCGGGAGGTGAGGTCGCAGCCGGCTCGCTGACGGGTCGCTCTCTTCCAGGTGCTCGGGAGGAAGTACATCCGCCTGTATTCCCCGCAGGAGTCGGAGGCTGTCTACCCTCATGACACGCACCTTCTGCACAACACCAGCCAGGTGGGCCCCGCGCCTCGCAGCTCCCCCCCCACCGCCTGGAGGCAGGCATGTGACTTGTTCTGCTCCCTCCAGGTTGACGTGGAGAATCCAGACTTGGAGAAGTTCCCCAGGTTTGCGGAGGCCCCGTTCCTGTCCTGCATCCTGTCCCCGGGAGAGCTGCTGTTCATCCCCGTTAAATACTGGCATTACGTGCGGGCCCTGGACCTGAGCTTCTCCGTCAGCTTCTGGTGGACATAGGCATGCCTTGTGCTGGCCAGGTGTGTGCAGGGAGAGCCCAGGACATTCCAGGCCGTACGGCAAGGCATGGACATAAGGCCTGACGTGTTGGGAAACGGGCTCTGAGGTTGGCGGCCTGGGTTCAAACCTGGCCCCATGGCTTAAGTGCCGTGTGATTTGGGCAAGTGTGTCTCCACCTGGAAAACGGGGCACTGGTCCTCACCACAGAGGGTCTGGGAGGTGGAGCGTGTGCAAAGCCCGGACAGTCATGCTTCTCACACAGCTGTCATGACGGGGCCTCCACGCCCTAGCCTGCAGGTGGGCATGGTGGGCATGGCCCTGGTCACGGGGAGAGTCCTTGCCAGCTTGCTGGAGAGCTCAGACCTCTGCTGGGCAATGGGAAGTCCACGGACATCCTTTTTGGTTCTTTATTTATTTATTTTACTCATTGATTTTGAAGAGAGGAAGGAGGAGAGAGAGAGACATCAGTTTGTTACCTATGCATTCATTGGTTGGTTCTCACATGACCGGGGATGGACCTGCAACCTTGGCACATCAGGACGACACTGCAGCCGAGCTCCGTTTCCGTGCTGTCACTGCTGAGGTGTGACCTGCCTTCGGGGAACTGCGTGGTGCATTCCCTGGGGCCCTCCCAGGAGGCTGTTCCCAAAGCAAGAAAGCGACCCCTCGCCAGCGCCAAGCAGCCCCTCCTGCCCCCCGGGGGCTCCACCCTCCCAGCTCCCAGCTCACTGCTCTCTGGGGAGAGGCCCGGATGTCAGGCTTTCCATGTACATTTATTTTGTTCGTATAAATGTGTTGGTTCTGTTTGTATAAACATAGCTTGTTGTTTGTGTTTAGCCATTAAGACTTCCCCCAGCCCTGTGACTGCAGGCAGGCAGGCAGATCCCCACAGCTGACACCAGGAAGGCCCCGGGCCTACTTGCCGTCCACGGGTCCCACATTAGTGCCATTTATGCAGGACTGCCTGCAGGTGACACTTGTCACACTGTGACCGTGAGGTAAACAGTAATCTGTTGCAAATCAATCATAAAAGAAATTTTAAAAGCTTATAATAAACCTTTAAAAAAGTGCAGTCTTCCCCTGGCTGGTTGCTCAGTGGTTAGAGCACCGGCCCAAGCACTAAAGGGTTGTGAGTTCAATTCCCAGTCAAGGGCATGTACCTGGGTTGCGGGTTCGATCCTCAGTTGGAGTGCGTGTGGGAGGCAATCAGTCGGTGTATCTCTCTCTAAAACTCAATGGGAAAGTGCCCTTGGGAGAGGAATAACAACCAAGTTATACAGTCTCACTAATACTCAACAATATGCAGTTTGGACAAGCTCCCAGCTACATTATAGCAGCTTGTTTAAAACTACTCCGTGCTGAGAAGGAGGATGTCCTGCTGGGTTCAGCTTGACAGGCTCGCAGCAGCCCAGCCTTACACGCTCACGCCCGCCGCTGGGCCTGCTCATCCTCTTCTGGAATCCGTCCCAGGAGACAGCACACGGCGGTCGGAGACACATGCCGGTCCGTACAGGTGGCGTCACCTGAAACAGCGGTGCTAAGGGAGAAGCCCCACTGTTTTCCTTTTCAATACACACCAGGCTCTTGGAACACTCCTGACACTCCGCTCACCAGATGGGCAGGGGCACCAAGCAAGCCTGCGACACGAGCTGGGTGTCCTGCAGTTTACTGCGGTTCTGACATGTCTCCCGGGGGAGTGGCAGATCCATAGGGTAGGGCTCAGTCCCACGGGCTGTCCTGGGCAGGCAGCACTCGGGCACTGAGGACAGGGCAGAAGAGCAGGCTGCTCCCAGCCTCGGGCAGGCCGGCGGGGGCAGGGGAGGGGCGGTCCAATTCGTTGGCAGTAATCACGGTGCTGGAGGCTGGTGGGACCATGTGAGGTGGTCACAGGGAGGAGGAAGCATTGGACCAGGGGAGTCAAGGGCGTCTGGAAGGACACACAGAAGACACAGTGTGGGCCTGGAGACAGGGGGGCAGCTCCTGTGTTTGGGATTGCAAGAGGCCAGGATGGGGTGAGGGCCGTGGCACAGGATAAAATCAAAGGTCATGGAGTCGAGGCCGTGCTGGCTCTGGCTGCCAGCGGCTGGGGCTCACTGGTGGCAGAAACCCAGCTCGGGCAGTTTAAGCAGAAACAACAAAGCAGGTGCAGTGCTCCGTGACTGATGCCGTGGAGGAAGCCCAGGCCAGGCCTCCCTCCGCCACACTGCTGGCCTGGCCCTGGCTTCAGTCTCTCCTCCGGCAGGTGGGTCTCCCCAGGGGAGATGACCCAGCTGGTCAGCTCCACATCCTCCAGCACCAGGACCCGAACTGGGGGCTCAGAAACCCCAGGCCACCCGGTCACTAGGAGAGGCTGGAAAGTCGGTGGTGAAAGCTGAAATGGCGGCTAATGTAACTGGCCAAGGAGATTGAACTTGATCACAAAGGTCTCAGGGTTTCAGAGATTTGAGCAGAGACTTGGAATAAACACAGGAAAGCTGGCTGGTGGCAGGGAGGCAGGCGGTGGAGCTGATGTGGTGAGTGAGCTCAGGTGGGCAGTGTGCACGGAGAACGGCCAACACCAGAGCTAAAGAATGTGGAGTCGAGCTCTGAGCAACTGCCTGTGAGGATTTCCTCCCCTCTCTGGCATCATTAATAGTTACTCACCTAATTCTTCACATGAATTTCCAGCAAATACCACCAGTGAAGGTAGTGAGGCATGGCAGCTGCTGGCCATGGAGGAGCGTAACTCAGGGGTCTCGAGCGGAACTCGCCCTTCACAGGGGAGGGCGGCTGCCGCTCCAGCTTCTGCCACGGGCCCAGCCTTCACAGCTGCCCACTCCTGCTCTGAGCCGCTGTGGAAGAACAGCGGTTCACCTGGAATGTGATTCTAACGTCAGGGACCAGAGGAGAGATCATTCTAATCTGACGTGGCCCTAGCCGGTTCGGCTCACTCGATAAAGCATTGGCCTGTGGACTGAAGGGTCCTGGGTTTGATTCCAGTCCAGGGTACATGCCCAGGTTGCGGGCTTGATCCCTAGTAGGGGGCGTGCAGGAGTCAGCCAATCAATGATTCTCATCATTGATGTTTCTCTCTCTCCCTCTCTGAAATAAATAAAATTATATATATATATATATATATATATATATATATATATATATATATATATATATATATGTGTGTGTGTGTGTGTGTGTATTGAAAAAACTGACATGGAGGCCTGCCTACCTCAAGCAAACGCCCCTTGTCAGATGGGCGTGTCCTCTGGGCAAGGCTCCGTCGCCTAGATATGCAGCTAGAATTGAGACCAGCTTGGGGAAAAGTGCCAAACTGCTGTTCCCTGAGCCCAGGGCAGGTGCTGGCACGAGGACCCACTGCCCGCCCATCGGACAGGACTGAGCCGGATAAGGCCCCTCCCGTGGTGGTTCCCACTATCGTGGGGGCCCGTGAGGACAGTGACAATGGGATCATGCCGAGTGATGAGTGCGATGCAGACAACAGAACAGGGTCACAAGTTAAAATGTGACAAGGGAAGGGTTGGTGGGGACATGAAGGAGCTCCAAGAGCAGGTGCAACGGTCCTGAGGCAGGAAAGTGTCGGCCGTGGGTGAGGAGGAGCCGGTGCAACGGGGGCAGCGGGAGAATGACAGGGGCAGGTGGGCAGGGGCCTGGCTACAGCAGCAGAGGGAAGGACGGGGCTAAGCCAGGGAGGCGGGTGGGCTGCGTGTTGCTGTGTGAGAAGGGCCTGAAAGGAAGACAGGAAATCCGAAGAGCAGGGAGTGTCGGTCCAGTCAGTAACTCCCGAGCGACTGTCAGGCTGCACAGGGAGCAGGCAGGGCCATCACAGCGACCGTGAGTGCCAGGCAAGGACTTGGGGTTTTGTGTTCGGGTTTCGGGTGGGCCGGGCCCAGGAGTCCGCAGGAAGTGCAGGTTGGTATGAGCCCAGGGGAGACTGGTAGCAGGAGGGCCAGTGTCCCCGCAGCAAGGAGCTCGGCTCCTGGGTCACAGTTAGGACTCAGCTGCACCTGCAGGAAGACCCTGCCTCCCCTGGCGGGTAAGACCAGCCACCTGCCAGGACAAACGAGCTGCCCTGCCCCCACTCCGGGGGTCAGTTTGCTCTTAGCCCCGGCGTCTAGCCTCCCTTCTTCATGGATTGCATTTGGGAGACTACCTTTCCCGGGAGGGCAGCCTCGCAGTCCTGGAGGGCCAGCCTGGGGCTGCATCCTGAGGATGACTGAAACTGCTGGGGTTCATTTACGGTGGCAACAGTGCCATGTGACAGGAGTGACTCTGACCACCCAGGCTTTTCTGGACTGTTCTCCTGCCTTCCCCACGTCTCTGCAAGCTCCCTCATTCCCTCCCAAAAGTCCTGCAGCCGCCGGGATGGCGCCTGTTCCTGCCTGACACAACTGAACCCGCAACCCAGTCAGTCATGGGCACCCACAGGCCTCTGCCAATCGGCTGGCACGTGCCTTGTGAGGACTGGGCAGGACCCCAGCTGCCTCACAGAGCTCAGCCTTCTCACTGCCTGGGAGGCTGGCATGAGGGTCCGGACACAGGACTGCGCTGGGTGAGCCTCCCACCAGCAGGTGTCATCCGTCCACTCCTAGTGCCCGCTTCACTGGTTTATGGAGGGGACCAGGCAGAGCACCCTGCCTTCCCCAATGGAGGCCTCCCCACCCACTCGGTGCCCACAGTTCACTCTCTGCCTGGTAACAGCACCTGCAGTTTGCTCAGCCATGTGGTTTCTGAGGGGCTGCTCCCAGGTCCCTAGGTGAGCCCCAGGTGGTAATGCCAATTGGACCATCCGTCCCCGCCTCTGTGAGTATCCGATTAGAGCTGTAAACCATGAGGATGTTTGCCAAGTGGGGGAGACACTAACAGACCCCCCTCTTCCTGCTGACACCGGGGGGGGGGGGGGGCCTGGATGCTCGGTGCCCTCGGAACACCGGGTCGAGCCTCTCCTGGAGGCGCCTCTGGCCCAGGCCTTCCTTGTTTAAACCAGTTGGAGCTGGGTTTTCTGTCCGACTAACAGGGTCCTGACTGACACCGAGGGGAAGAAAGACAGGAACTGAAATTGCGTGGCAAGTGTGATGACCCAGGGAGTGACGCCCAGCCAAGACCTAAAGGGGGGGCAGGTGCCAGCAGACACAGGCAGGCTCCAAGGAAGGAGGTTCAGGCAGAGGGGACAAGGCAAAGGCTCAGAGGGAGGAGCAGGACCTCGCTCAGGAACCGGGAGGAATGCTGCCCCGCTGAAAAGGGGGGAAGGAAAGGCCATGAGATGCGCAAGGGCCTCATCATCTGGGCCCGTGAGTCCTGTGTGCCTGGACCCGAGTCCTGTCAGCAGTCACAGGGGTCTTCAGCAGGGGCGCCAGGCTGATTGGCATCATGGGACGGTCACTGTGGTAGAAAAGATGGAGCAGGTGGGCCGCTTGGAACCAGGAACAGTGAGGAGCCGGTGCAGAGGGAAGGTGGAGGAGGGACCTGGCCCAGGGCAGCCATGGGGGGCTGAGGGCCACCTGGCAGGTGGGCAGCCAGGTGTCATGACAGGTTTGATGCAGGAGGCCAGGGAGGAGGAGGCACCGAGGCCAAACCCCCAGTTCAGGGCTGGGGCAGCTGATGGGCAGGGCTGCCAGGCACTGAGCCAGGACAGAAGAGCCCACTGAGGAGGGTACCTTCAGCCGAGCCTGCAGGCTACATGCCCATTTGGGCCAGTTGCATCATGGGCCAGAGGAGAGTCCAGACCATGGGGAGGTCAAGGCCAAGGCCCTCACCAGTCCAGGTCTGGCTGGCCAGTGCTGGTGGGACAAGTAACCAAAGCTGGAGAGTGATGGCGAG